GTTGTGCGAGATTCAATTTCATTTGGAACGCATACGAATTCCGTAAATGGTGTAAGTGGGTGGGGTGTAGAGTTCTGGAATCTGTCTCTGGATTTTGCGTCAAAGGCTGGGAAAACTAGTTTCGAATTTCCTCTACAACAGTGCACGTCTTCCACCAATCCGGGCTTTAAACCCCTAATATCTGGCATGTCAGGGGATATGTTACTGCTGCCTGAACACACGCGTTTGACCAACGTGGTACCACGCATATCAGATGTCCGCAATCCATGTCCAGTAGGGTCAGAAATCCACTGCTGAAGGTGAGTCGAACTGATTGCACCCAGACGTTTCATAAGCCATTTTATAACCACCTACCAAGTCAAGGTTGATTGCATCTCTGCTCCCACCACTCTGAACTTGGCGTGGACAACAGTACCGTCTCCAATAAAAGATGGTTTTGCGTAGTTCATAATCTCACCAACCAAGATTCTGGTGTTGGACATTCTTTGATGAAAGTCCCCTCTGCAGAACGGGAAACTCGCTTTCCGACTACTCCTTACGGATTCGCTGACATCAGCCTATATATGCAATAGTTTTGAAATAATGATTGTCGAGCAACTGAAGACTTCTCAGCTCGGCTGCACAAACAGGCCAAGCCTCCCAGATGTATAACAAAACAGCCCGTACTATAGCTTGGTTCACATGCATTGCATTTTGTCCTTCAATTACATAAAAATACATTTTGCACCCTTTAATTTGTGTTCACTCGGATAATGGCAAGTCTCCCGGAAAAAAGTAAAACAGATTTCTTGGGATTGTTTTTTCTACCAGCCACCTGGTTTACGCAACCAGTACGGACCCAAAGAGAGATGTTTGTACTAGTTATACCAACAGCAACTTGAAGGTTGTGCATCTCAGTTTCAAGTTATTATTTCGGTGTTTTAGTAATGTACCGTTGTTTTTGGGAAGCTGTCGTTGTCACCTGTCAAAGCATCACTATCAATTTTATTAGCCTGGCTTTGTAGTTGTCAACCCACCTGCAGCTTCGATAATATACATGCCGGAAGAAATAGTCTACAGAGGGGACGCGAGCCCCAAAATCTGAGTGCACTGTTCGCTGTCTCTAATATAAATTTCAATGATCTGAAAGCCAATTAATTCGTCAACAGGTAGCATCTACTCGGAACAGAAGAGATCTTAACCTATTCTTCACCCACTCTAATAGTGGAAAAATCGATACTTGAGGGATTGCTGCTTAATCTATCCTTGCATATTCTATGTGGGTTAGCAATGAGAGTGGCATATTCTATTATTAGTCAGAGATTTTTCAGCTCCATATGGACCATAACACTAGGTTCACACGAAGAATACCAAACGTACGTTGGGATTCCGTAGAGACTTAAAGAAATTTGGATGTGGATCGCGTTATGCAGTTAGAAGTGTTGTCACAAAAGGTGATGTAAATTGGCTCCAGAGGCCCGTGTCGAATCACGAGAGGAAAGTTTGGGCGAATATCATATAGTTTACTGACAAGAGGATCAACAAAACAGTATCTGAAATTCCAGTGCGTTGAATTCGCAATAAGTTAGGTTTTCACAAGTAGCCCAAAGAATACAGTAGAGGGAGAAGATTTTAATTTGGGAAACATATGCGGTTGTGAAACTCCCTATGAGGTTTCCTGGGTATCCTTATCTGAATAATTAAAAAAACTAGCCATTGAACTTTGGTGCAGACCGTTTGAAACAGAGGGTTATTGATAATTATATCCGCCAGCTTATCACGGTGTTGAATTCTGAAAGGTAAAATCCATTACCAATGAATGGTTGCAAATTACATAGTTTGTCCTCTAAACGCATGTCTAGACAGGAGGTAACGTCATTAAATTTGGGAGAACTGAGGGATAGACACAACTCTCGAAACCGGATAACGACTTGCTTTAAACCCTAATGAGAGTGCGACCAGGACATCCGAGCTCAGTGCTGTCAGGATGTTCACAGTGAATCAGAGATTCGCAAGCAGAAGTGCAGTTTACTTTGAAGAAATGAAAGCATTTGTAGAAAGTTCTTGAAGCACGTCGGTTTCACTGGAGAGGGGGATAGATTTTCGACCAGTGAGTCTCGTGCGTTTCGTCTGGTCGGTGGAGCAGTTCCGAATCCCCCGAATCCTCTCACCAGTGACGAGAGAAGTGCACCCCGTTCACAGTTGTCAAATGCGTTTGTGTAATCCAAAATCAACAGGCGCATAACCGTGACATTTGTGTCCACCAGAAAGGCGACAACCAGCCTACAGCATTACGAACGTTGAACAACCTGACCCGAATGTCCAGCAAGCAGACTAGCTCTTATTCCATTTAAGAATAACTCGAATAGTCTTACGAAACTATACGCTGTCCGTAAGTCTCCATTAGTTCCATAGGACGCCCGCGCACTTCTCAGATAGTTTTAGGTGGTTTGGCTTGCTTGAAAACTGTACATCGGCTGACAATAAGAATAACACATTCAAAAGAGGCCGATGTATTAGGAGCGATGGCTCTACAGTATCTCTTCTCAGCAGGATGACGCAGATTAAAGGAACCAGGCGCATTGAAATAAGCTGAGGGATAAGCTCTTATGCAGGATGCCGAAGTAGACACTTTCAAAAGTATACAACAGCTCGTCAACCGAGGGTTTAGCCCATTAGGTTCACCATCCTCGAGTCAGCCCAAAGTTGAATCTTTCCGATCCACTTGAGAGGGCCCGAGATGCCATCTGGAAAACAAGCGGTCTTTTGAGGTGTCCATTAGTCACAGATTGAAACTGGAAGACAGGTTTTTCCACTGGTTTCACAATCTACCAGGAGGGATCGAATTTGCCGAGTTCTTGTTTTTGAAGGAAATTGGAAACTCGCAGAAAGAGGCCATCTGCCAACGCTTCCCTTCACCGCAGGCAAAATGCTGGGAAATATCTTGCTCAGCTGGTAAGCTGCAACAAAATATCCCTGAAGAATGTCCCCAAAGAGAATGCAGAACACCTAACCCCTGCATCGGATTGGCTGCAGCAGAAATATCATTATTCGACATGTTATTTTTCTTATCACAAACCTGGACTCAAATAACAGCGATACGCTATGAACCATCCAGGTTGTTGTTGAGAAAAGGTGTACCCATTCATTCAATCCTACCCGCAGCCCAGAGTGCAAATTCGTGGAACTAGCCACAATGGACACACAATCGGTGCTTGGGTTATACAACTTTGTATTCTGACTCACTCTGCGGAAATATAGTTTATACAAAAATACTGCATGCTCTCATGTTTGACACTCAGTACCAATTGGGCAGCCGTTCCTACGAATCGAAACTACTCATGATCAAAACAACTTTCAAAATGTCCAACATTCCAGATGGCTTCAGTTTTCCCATTTGCGACAAGATTTTGGCCTGTCTAGCATCTCCCTTAACAGAATTTCCCTCTGCTCCCAATACCATTTCCATAAGACACGTTTATTCAACCAGACTGTCGGAGGTTCACAACAACGGACGCCATGTACTCAATAAATCCTCACCGTATGACACGCTGTGGAGAGGCTTGCCATATCCGCAACACGTGTTTTTCAATGATTATTGAACTATATACCATGATTGTCCAGGCAATTCTGCATGTTTTCGCTTACGCATATGCCTTTGAAGAAATCATGACTTATGCGCAACCACCAGAACCGCGATGTGCCGAGATGCCCTACTGTCCTATGCGGGCAAAAAATACCATACAGACGACGTTGTACCGTACCAGCTGGAGATCATTCAGGTGCGATATGCGGATCAGATGCGTAACAGGATCTTGGTTCAATGGTCCCGGTGTCGTCATGATGCACAAACTGATGATCCCCTAATAGGCTATGTGGAACGATCGGCCGCCCACGCCTGATATACGATCGATTGGAAAATTCTACTCAAATTCGAGAATATTCGAAACTCCTCTATTGTGGATGGCAGTCTTCAATCGGGTTACGAAACTGCACCCTCAGTTTCACATCTCGGAAAAGTGACTTCGTGAGCTGCTGACTGCAAGGGGTCCAGCACATGTCAATGCCGGATCACTAGAGAAGCCTCAATGCGACCGCTTAGATTTCCTCGATTTGTGGACGCCCTTGGCTGAATAGACTGGAACTATTTGTCAATGAAGAATTTGACCCGTAAGTAGAGTCATTCTACGGTGAAATCTTTCCTGCGAAATCTCAAACTGCGAACCAAGTATGGGTAACTTAGAAGAGAAAAATAATAAAGAAAACGAGTGAACACTAGTTTTGTTCGTACTGGAGGAACTTGTCGAAACATGGCTGCGTAGCATGAAACTCGTGAGTAAATGATGATGCTGAAGAGCACGCTGGTTAACAGCGTAGACATTATGTCACCGCTGAAGAAAAAATAGCTTTTCTGAAGCTGCATTTCTTTTGCTGCATTGCTTCCTTGACTTGAATGTCACACTAAGTAACCCATTCGACTTCACCCACTGAACCTTGTACGTACCTTAGGTTAAACGTTACACTGATGACGTAACTCAACTGGAGATAATCATATAGGTCACGTTAAGGTCCAGTTCTTCCGCCTACTTTCTTAAAACAAGATGCCCCGTCCTGTGCAACCAATCTGACTGGTAAGATGAATCATACGCATCGAGAACCATTAGAATCCGTTTAGTGACCAGTCGTCAAAAGGTTATTTTCATGCTAAGTTCAGATAGATTGGCAAACGAAGTGTTTTGAATAACCTCCACTCGACTATGTGTAAACTCTCACCCGACCAAGCCCATCGAGAACAGCACACCTACTGATTTCCAATCGTTTCACACGTTTTAACCCATACATAATGAAGAATACGTCTGGCTTCACCGTCCGGAAGGTCATTTCAGCAGTTCAAATCACGTTACCACAAGTAACCACGATTGGCCCAAATTTGGACCAATAAAAATTGATGCAAGATGACACCACCAAAGAATATCCTGGCTACTGCATTATTGTGTCCTAAAAAATCTAGCTTGGCAGACAAAAATGTCACCAAAACAATACATTACAGAAACCTGGATCTCATAAACTTGGATAACTTTGCACGATGCCCCAAAGGAAAGGCCTTGTTGCACCACAGAACACGTTTTTAGACACGATTGCCACACGTTTTGATGGAACACGTAAGCTTCTTCGAGTGTCCCTGATTTCTATTTACGCTTTTTGACCCTGTCTAAAAGTGACTTTTTTGTCGGTTAAGAAACCAACAGAGTAGTTTGGTTAACCAAAGAAAGGGGTTCAATATTGTGGATCATGCTGCATACTTTAGAGGAATTTTGGTCACATTCCTAGTATGGGCCATTGTGGCAAGAAAGATTGACTACAGTATTACCATCACTCAGTCAGCTGCACTCGGATTGTTGCAAACGCACCATTGGGGACGTTTAAACCTCAGGCCTCCTGGTGGATGCTATCATGCAACTTTATTGAAGGAAAAATACTGGAAGGCGTGCAACCCAAAAAGATGCCAATTCCAGTTAGTGCACTGTTGGCGTGATTTAGCTTCGCGGAGCTCCCACTAAATCGGCAAAGACAGATGAATTATTATTCGGACGAGGAGAGGTAGCTAGTTTGCAGCGAATCACTGCAAGCAAATATAGTTTTCATAGCATTTATTGGAGGAATCGGACTTGTATATTTATTGGGATTTGATATCTAAAGATACCCCTAAACTTCCGAAGGACCTTCAAAGTTGTTGCATGTGAGTTTTAGGATGTCATGACCCACTATGCTTTGCAAATTATTGTAGTGTGACTTTTAATGGCGTTTACTTTGCCTGATTTGCTATTTATTGTCATGTTACAAAACCCACTGAGCTTTGCAAACAAATATATCACATGCTAACGGCTCAGCAAGAATTTAAATATTTCATTATAAAACTGCAATATGTCTGGAAAACTGGTGGGCAACTTGGGGATAGTCAACAGGGACCGAAATAATCGACTAGACTTACAATAATAAAATTGACGCTAACCGACACTTGATTCGGCCATTTATGGTTGTTTACAGGGCCTGTATGTATGGCACTTTTAAAATATGTCTAGACTGTGAGACAGAGGAGAAGAATGAATTATTAATTTCATAGAATTAATCGTCCTTTTTGCCTGTCTGCCAGTGTTCTGTCTGATTCAAAGGTATCCAAACTTATTTTTCGCAATTTTTTTTATTATTATTATTAATACAGTCTACATAAATGCTCACCAAAATGGCTGGCGTTCATGGATGGCCAGCCGTAGGTTTCAAGTTTATCAATCAGACTTCAGCTTGTGAATCGACACTCGTTAGGTATTCATTTGCACACCGATGTACACTCACAAGGTCAGTCTCGTTAGAGACAACTGCGTTTTTCCTAGGAATTTCGCTTATATTCCACACCCCTTCACCGACAACTGTCTGCTAGTTATAAAAGACAGTGTAACACGACATCATCATTTTTGTTGTCTGGGTAAGTGTGCAACAATCTTTCTGGTTGTCCCAAAAAATCCATTCCCTTATGGGAAGCTGACGGAGAAACGCAGCACCACTTCAGAGTGCCGGTCAACTTATAGGTTGAGAGTAGATTAGGATGAATGCATGGGTGATAAGTCCACCATCCTATTTTGCGTAATCCTGGGCACCAGAAGAAAAAAAATTGCACAGTGTCTACCTGCCTCACAGCATAGAGGTGCCTCAGTTATAGGTTAAATTCTAATGTGTACTTTACCAAATCTCTTCAGACGATTATCAGTTCATCATTCTTATGAACCCATTTCTAGCCACCAATAATAATGTTAGTACAATTCTCTATATCTTTATTTTTCCTACTGTCGTCAGGGGAATTAAAATAATCGGCAGAGCCACCTACTATATTGAGAGGGAAAACTAAACCAGTACTAGAATCCGAAACCTCCGAAAGGGAAAATTCATCAGCTTATGCGTGAAAAAGTACAACAACGTTCCTTTATAACATTTGGAAATTGATTTGCTGTAAACCCACTCCCACGGCTGCAATAGTACAGAGAACTAATTTTTCTAACGCAACCCCAGAGGAAGTAGCCTAATTTGTCGGGAAAGCATAAATATCCACGTAGCACGTACGTGGAAAATTGTACTGCACTAAAAAACGTTTTAATTTTTTATCTACCGTTGCGCGGTGTGCGACTGACCTAAAGGGAAGGTTTGATTTTTCCGTGGTACGGGATCACCTTCTGTTGGTACGAGGTCGATTAACGCACGTACATAATAATCAATCAGGAGTAGACTGCTAAACATAGTCGCCACCTTTGACTGAAAGTGTACGAGAGACCTTCACCTGAATTAATTTTTTCGTTACCTCTTTGAGAAATATCGATCACAGAGATCGGAAAGATTGCATTGAACGCAAAATAGTTGTCAGTCATTTCAGATCATTGATTTTACGTTCACAAAAACGGACATTGTCAGTTTGTCCTTGAAGGGATGGAGTTTTATAAACTATGCTAGACTGCAGAAATATCTCTGAGCACGATCTGAGGACCAAAGCAATCCTAATCTTGCAAATCTGAATGTACATCGAACTGCGCGAACCTAGGATTGCTCGCAGTTTCTGAGACAGTTACACTACTACGTTTCTTTTACGGTCGAAATTTGCATGGATGTGTCGGTTGGCCTAAAATTCAACACTACAGTATGAGCATCGTTGAAAGTCTACTAAAGCAGTTGACCTCAAAATTTCAAGTTGTTTTGCAGAATGTGTTGCTTTTTCGGACAGACAAGCAGCACAGAATTAGAGTGCTGCTATTTATTCCTGTTTCCACATATTTTTATGGCATCGCGATATTCTATCTTTATTTAAAACCTGAATTCTACAGAGCTCACCAATACTGATGTACTTTGTCCAGAAAGTGATATTTCGGCACACGTCCCTTTAAACACGCTGTTTACGGTTGAAATGAATTTCATTTGATACGTTACAGCTTTGCACTTCACTACATATTGCATAGAACTACACAAAGGGGCTGTAGAAGTGATTTCTTTTCGTTTTGAAGGATATGCCTCATGTATTTCAAACTGTGCTTTAGTTTATGTGCTAGATGGATAATAAAGGTGGTCCGGCTGACACTTCGAGATAAACTATTCCGAAGTAATATCGGCTAAAGACCAAAAGGCCCGCTTCATTGTTGGATCACAGTAATAAAAGTTCTGATAATCCGTTTTCAGGCTGAGTGCTAACATGGAGTACAAGCATTTGTTAGCGGGAACAAACTTGGAGAATGATGCATCCAGTAGTCATTGAAAGATGTAGACGGACTGCTCGGTGCGCGCGTGTTATTGTGTGAAACAGCCTCGAGTTGCCAACACAATTTTCAAATTCAAGCTGAGGCTTTCAGCTATCAGCCTTTCAGCGAAGATCGTTCACTACCGCAATGAAATATACCGACCCATCAGTGGCACCCAGGCGTTCATCTCATTACGTACTAGAGCAGTTCGATCAGTCGGATACACGTTAAGAAGCTACAAAAAATCTAACGTCTCCAAAACAAAATCGAACGCAGTTTTTTAATGAATGTCCTGACATAGGCTAGTTGTGCAAGTAAGCTATCATAAGCTGACCGTCACTTATACGTGATGAATTGAGGCCGGACCGCTCTTGGTGCTTCCTGGTTGGATCCACCTGGGGAAGATGGCTTCTAAGATAGACCCATCGTCCCACGATGCGACGTAGTTGGGGGCCACAAAATGTGTGTACAGCCATATCTTATAGGACCATATGGTTAACGCATTCACAGTGATAGTATTCTTGCTTCCAACTGACAACCTAATAAAGGGAAAAACAAGAATATTCCCGGCCATTACAAGCATAGGGTCACATCCCATGAACTGATCTGACAGGGTGGCCAAAGCAAGCCATTTTAAAGGACACTGGTCCAACGGAAAAAGCCAGTGGGTACTGATCCTCACTATATTGATAGACTTCTAAAAATGCATTATATTTTTTTACATAAGGTAAACATTGTGTACACTCGCTGTACAGTCACTGGCTCCAGAAATATGGATAAAAAAATTAGAAGCCTCGGTAGCTGGTGAACGATCAAGCCTCACGCAAAACATAACCATAGAAACGAACTATTTTTGTTCGTGTTTGACGTATAAACGCACAACTGAGTGTCAGGGAGGAAATGATTTAGAAAGGACTCACCAATCTGAAACTGGCTGATGAATGATTACATAAGAATTCACCTAGACGGTAGTCTATAAGCCATTCTAGTAGATTCACATGCCATTTTAAAAAAATATGCACTATACAGTCCCTTCAATTGAACGGTATAAACATCTTTAAATCGCCTTTTCGTCGACTGATGGGCTTGCAGCGCTCCATGAAATGGAAGTGACTCGGCAACATAAGATTTCACGGATGTTTGGAGAATAGCATGTTGACAGACCCAGAGTACGTCTGAATACAATATCTTCAAACGTAAATGCTAAGCTGATTTTGGAGTCAGGAAAGTTTGGAACCATTTATTTAGATAATGGTCGGGCGATCTCTCCCTGCTGTTGTGTAAGAAACATCTGGATTATGCTGTTTTTTTCATAATAACAGAATTTCTGCCCACTGTTAACACACGGAAACTGGCAGTGTTGAACTTTCTGCATCTCAAATGATGCATCTCACAAATGACAAGACAGAACCTGAAGGGTAAAAACCGTTACTGGATTGAGGATAAATTTCAGCAGTCTGGTAACTAGTGCTGTGTCGAAAAAGACAACTAGGTATCCCAGACGTCGTGCCAGCTGAAACATGGGACAATTTTGTGGAGCGCATTTCATTGGAAAAGATCATAACCAAAGGATTTACCCATAGTCCCTCAATGACATGCATATACTTTCCAAACAAATATACACGACATTTAATTTAGCACGCAATGGAATTGTATCAAATCAACTTTGATCCTGAGTAGGGGGACTGCTTGCAAACCTCAAAAATCTTTATTGCACACACAGAAGTGCCCTAGCCGTTCGAGCTTTGAAAAACTTCTTTTTATTTATCTATGGCTGTGCATTTGTATCTACAACAAATGGCTTTAGTTACGTTCTGCAGTGTGATAAGTTAGCTGATAGAAACTTCAGAGGTATTCATCCACCCTTTTCCTACCCGTGTTCCCGT